CCCCCCCCCCCCCATTACGACTAAGCGTCTCAAATAACCTCTGCTGAAGAAGCCCTGCTGGCTGCTTTCTGTAGTGTTTTCCTACCAAAGTGAAAGAAGGAAAAGGCCAACATTCGGGGCTACAACCGGGTCGATGAACCCTTCGCCTAGGGGAGTTGGCTGAAAACTCTGATTCCAAACCAATCAAGAGGAGACGTACGAACCACACCCACAATTTTCCGGTTGTAGACACCGGCTCAATTGGGCATGGAGGTGTATTGGGAACCTAGGACGTTCGACCCTGTCTGAAGGGCGCACGATCCAATGAACAGGAAACCGGCTCCGAATGGATTACGGTTTTCACACACCGCCCTGTTGGCTTTGGCTAGACGAAGGCTATGGTTGTGGACTCGGCTCGGTTCGGTTTGTACGACCATTAACAATACACTTTCGTGCGCCGGTTTTGGTTGCTGTCTTTTGGCCGCCCATTTGGATAAAAGAGAATGATGAAGACTGGAATGTTGAAAGCCAATTCAAACAGAAGATAGAGAATTCATATAGACTAATCTGAATTTGATGTGCTAGCAGGTTAATAATTGATAGACTACCAAACACACGACGGCTTACCTACACATTACCGGTTAGTAACGTGTAATTGGGAGTCTATCAGGTATAAACCTGTTAGCACACCGAATTCAGATTAGTAGACTTCGTTCGCTAGGGCAAGTATTGCGTATGTACAAACATCATCTACCGCGCCACGCTTTGTTCGCTGTAGCCGCTCCGGACTGAAAGAAACCACGTGGAGGTCCACAGATGACGTGGATACGAGGCATGAAGAAATGCACATAGCCATTAGGTAGAATAGGTGTCTCTCGCCTTCCAGGAGTCCGAAAGACCACAACCGGTTGGTTGGAGACATTGAAGGATATGGCAGCAAACCGACAGCAGTGGCGTTCTTGCTGTCGTTTCCCATCAGGTCGGAAGGCTTGAAATGGTATGTATGCAGAGTTCGACTGTGCACTATCTGTGTTGAACACAGTGGTTCACCTTCTTTTCCCTCCCACAACAGGGGTCCAATCCTTGTGTTGAGAGAATAATGAGTAAATGCATGAGTGCCACTGTTTGCGACATCCAGCCATATCGCTC